AAAAGCGCCAAGTCAGAAGTCTCGAGTGTTTGCAAGACTCGAAAAATGGGTCGATTGAAGCTCGCGAGATCTACGCGTCTAACGAGAGTGGCAGCGTGATTGTGTTCTTACCCGCGAATAGGAAAAAAAATAGTCGAGTTCCTCGGATCGATTGCTCGATAAATTCCCCAGATTTCAGCGACGGGCTCGAAGGGAGCTGACCGGGTGAATTTTTGAAAAAATAAGACCATTCTTTCGTGTAACAAGGAATAACAGTTACGAGTGCAACAACGATCAAACACTTTTCGAAGTTGTTCGAGTTAGAAATGCGATCTACAACTTCTACCTTCGAAATTCCAACGGTATAAACGCGAAAGGCACATTTAAAAACTCATTTTCAAGTTGGATATCTTTTCAAAAGTCTCTCGAATAGATTTCGAAGCGCTTTAAACATCGTGCTGAAAAAATTATGAGGTTCCGGGGTTACGAGATGCATGTGAAAATGAAAAGTTTGCTCGTTATTTTGTGCCAGCGAACAGAAAAGAAATGTCTGACAAAAATCCGCCAGAGTTACTCGTTAGTATTCTTTTTCAAAATAATTTCTTTTAGACAGAATGTTATAATAAAAATTGTATTTTTTCCATCGATCTACGTTCCCTTTCAAAATATCTAAAGTTAAAGTTTCTATTCTGTTCGTTGAACAGATTGTAATCCATCGGTCCGACCAGGTACGGCACTGTTCCACTTGTCGGGCTGGGAGCTTGTCTACTCTACTTGCATGGCTAAGGAGTGGAGTTGTTCTACTTGTGTTTTTCAATCAAGACGGACGTGCTCTGACTGTTTGATCAGGGAGAATCCTTTCCCAAGGAATGAAACGTAATTCATCGAATGCAAAGTAATTTTACGCTCGCTGGAAAAAATATTTATGAAGCATTCGAATGGTGCAGTATTAAATTCTGATTAAAATAAAGTTGTCTCTTTCATACAATATCATTTTACTCGAGCTAAAATTTAGATAAAAAATTATAAACCATCCGTGCACTTTCGAGCAACGTCGTTTTCAACGTCGAGGTAATTTTCTGAAATTTTTTAATTCTTTACAAATTGGACTTTCGCCCGAACTTATTTTATTTATGAAGAGAACTCTTTTGGCTTTCACGTTGCTGTCTAAAAACGAACTATAAATATAGAATACCAGAACTTCCTGTGGATAAAAGAAAGAATCTTCAAAATTATTTAGAACGTGTCTGGGTAAAAAAATTAGTCTAGATTCTTAAATTTTAACAAGATTGAGTAACAATTTTGTATGACAAATTGTTCAAAAACAAAGTTCAGGGGTTTGGCCTGTCATTCGACTCGTTAATGATGTCATTTGCCATTTTCTCAAAATTAGCTAAGTTTCGGTATATAACGGTATGAAAGAGTGATTTTTGGAGCATTTTCAATTCCTGTGGGCGACTGTGGACCGTATCAATCCACAGATTCGCGGCAAATCGTACGTCTGGAAGGAACGTTTCACCGAGCCGTTCCTCGCAGACAATGCCAACAATCACAGTCATGTTTGAACGAAAGATTTAAAACGAGAGCCCGGAGCGCGAAAGTCGGTACATTGGGATCGGGGGATTTTTCGGAAATCGATTCGACCAGTCGTTTAAATATTCGCACACGCGAGTCACGCGTACAGGTACGTCACGCGAGAGAAAGACACGTAGAAATCGCGGGGCTGGAAGCCCGATCACGGCCCGGTACCAATGTCAATACGACGTATAACGATTTTCATATTCGACGGGAAAGGCGAACCAAGTACCCAGGACGCCTCCTCTTCGGTATCCAGGACACGCTTTCGACAGTTCCACCGGAATTCCCGATCAGTTTTCCAACACTCCGCCCCGCCACCTACGAGGCTGCAGAAAATTTTCCACGACGGAAGCAAAGGGAAAAGATCGAACGGAGGGCGATGGATGGGAACATAGTCGGGACGATGAGGAACAACGAAGAAAAAGATGGATGGACACGTTTCCACCCCCTCCTTCGATCTTTCGTGGGGTAATGAGTGTCTTCCCGGGGGCGTAATTGGAATAAGAATTTTTAACTTAAGCTAGTTTTATCAAACGCGTTGAGACTAGGAGCAATTAACGGAGGCGTTCGTGATAAATGGCATTCGCGGAGCTTCGATTTTTCTTCGTTATCGTTAGAAATTATCGACGAATTGTTACAAAATGCACAGCTGCTCCGAGGGTATATTTTAGACTTTACAATTTTTAAAAATTTAATTTACAAATCACCGGGGTTCATTTTAAGAATCGTTTAGCACCTCCATTGAAACATAGAATCTTTCTGATGGAATTTTTTACAGTGAACTACGGGCCACAATGTGTACAAAAAGAAGATGTTTCTATCGATGGACACCGGTGTTTGTTGCTTCGCAATTAGATCGAGCAAGATTGATTCCATTACTTTCGAACAACAAATGTTCTTCAATAATATCCGGCATCCATACGTTCGGTAAAATAACAGAACCTGACGTGTGCAGGCTCAACAATTTAAAAAAAACAGAAAAAAAAACATCGGGAGTCTGAAACCAAAATACGGGAACGGTTGAAAACACAAACAAAACGCGAGGTACGTCGAGCTGCAATCGGAACGTAAATAGAGGGGAGTGGGAAAAGGGATGGAACGGGAGCAGAGACTCAATGGAGCATCGTGCAGCGAAAAAAGGGAAGCAATAGGATCCCGCGATTCACACCGATCCATTTCGACGCGTTGCTTTCTTGCAAGATTGTCTTTTTTCGTCCTTCTTTTCTTTCGCGCGATTTTTCAATCCGTTCCTTCAATTCCAGCCCTTCTCAATTAGGACTATCATTTTTAAACAACGATTTCTTCTTTGTATCGAACGTCTCGAAATCAAAAAGAAAATCAAGTTGTGGTAAAACTTCTTCGACTAATTTATTCAAATATCAATGAACGAATTATAAAAGTATAACACATTTATTGCGTGAAAACGAATACCTAAAAAATATATTAATAATTTTAGTAAAAATGTACCAAGAAATGAAATATGTAGACCTTGTGTTTACCATGGAAAACGTCTTGATTAACATTATAATTCTTTTGGCTCCCTGCGTGGGAGACAAATATCCAAGTATTTACTGTAATTCGTCTTTTTCCCCCATCAGTCGCGGGAAGCAATAAATTCGATAACATACATTCCAGGATAACTTTCCGAGACTAGTTCCACGCAATCATAAAATATGAGAGTCACTTATGGCATGCTCGAACCGACTGTGGAATTTCTTTATTGAAAATATGGGAGGGTTAGAACCTCTTTATGATAATGACAATGATGAGAATCGGGAACGTTTACTAACCCCACATGGAAGTATTCAAATACTTAAGTTTTTATAGTAACAATAAATAACAAATAAGCGTTTTAGTCACTTTAAAATTTGTACAGTAACAATGTGTGAGAAAAATTGAGGGTTTGTATTTTTACCATCGAATACTTCAGTGATCCAACGTTTCGAACGAAGGCACAATCTCCGTTTTTAAAGTCAATTATATTAAACGGACATTTTGACAAATTTAAAGATACAGAATTAAATAATGTATTAATTATCTTGGTTCTTCGTCACTTTATTTTATCAATCCAGACATGTCAGCAAAAAGCACCGATATAATACTAGCACGCTGTTATTGCGAACACGGTTGCAACAAATGCTGTCACGACTGGACACGCGCAGACAACGTGTACTGGCAGCTGTCAATTTTCTGCCCAATAGTTGTAAACCACAGGAAATGCGAATCTCCAGAGATAGTAAATATCACGACAGGATGTTCGACGTACGCGGCCCGCGGCACGTTTACTTGCAATAATAGATCGCGTTAAAGTACAATAAACAACGCTTAAAAAAGCAATACAATGATTATTTTTTTAAAATGTCAGTACAAGTTCTACTAAAAGTAAATTTTATTAGAATAGATATTTTCACGAACGTGATCGTATTTGCTATTAATGTTTTAAATTTACCGAGTCACCGTGACATGTCTATATATAATAGTAACAAATGAATTATTCTAGCGTTATAGAAAGGTATACTAAACAAAATTTTATTAGAAAAATATTCTCATGTATGTGATCGTATTTGCTATTGTTTTAAATTTATCGAGTTACCGTGGACACGTCTATTTTGAATAACTTGTTTATTTTAGAAGAAACGTGAATGTTGATTGTTGCAGCTTAACAGTAAATTCGTAAAGCCAGCGGATATAGAATCACACCTTTCATAAACAATCAAGGTTTTTACCTATAACCTAATAATGCCCTTAAGGTGGCTATTTAATTAGTTTGTGGCGTTGCTTCACTGGCGGTTGGGGGCCTGTTAGTGGACTAATCAGTAAGGCTTTCTAGCAGGCCCTACCTTAGACGACTGGGATATTGGGAAGTTGTTCGAGGAATGTATATATAGCAACCGAGGAAGCGGTCGAGCGCTTGTGAGAGCGCGACCCCTCTGGTGGTGAGCATGGGAGACGACGCCACAAGTTAATTCACTTAAAATCTGCATGACCCTCCAAATCCAGTCACTCTATGACTTTTCAACCTGCAATAACATCGACGACCGGTGTCAGGCGTTTTATGACCAGACCCAGGTACCGCGCAAAACATCTGGGCACCAAGTGCTGACCCAGGCCCGCAAAAATGATTAAAAACCACCGTTACATGCCGCCTCCCACCGACCAACTTCGCCGCCAAAATGATTGGTATTAGTAATGCAAACCCAATCGGCGACTGATACTTCCTCCCATGGTCTTGAGTAAGCCCATGGCGAGGTTAGCTCTTTGGGCAACCTTGGCCCAGAGCAACACTGAGAAGAACACCGAACACAAGTCATATTGAAGCCTCCAAGCGTATCTCCCTAAACAGTTCGCACAAAATTAAGTTGGCGTGCGATATTGTGCTGCTGCACAAAACATTGATGATAAAACTGGGTTCAGGGATTAACAGGTATTGTTGTTTGTTGCAGATCTGCCACTGATAACGGATCCAGTATCAACGAAATCGACGACGGCGGCAAAGCGATCGGTACCGACGGACGCGCCGATGCTGTATTATATCTTCGATGCACATAGCACGCTGAACAAGCACCAGCATCATCACGATCATCGGTGGGGTCCTCATTTCGAGGGTGAGGGCAAGAATATGACCGTGCAGGCTGGTGGCAGCGCCATGCTCGACTGCAGGATATCCCTGCTCCAAGACAAAACCGTGAGTCCCTCTTTCCACGTTCGTGCATTTTACACGCCCTATATATTAGGTATGTTCTCCGGATCGAGCATACAAAGTTCCAAATTTCCACCTCGCACGCGAAGGGGTTTAGAGAAACGAATGTTAACACGATCTTACTCGAACATAGTGACGGATATATTTCCCGCTTTAGGATCCTTTGTGATCTTTGAGCAACGATTAGAAACAGATCTAGGTTAAATATCACTAGAATTAATTATTACTAAAAATATAGAAAATTTCCCACAATTTCATTTTCGACGAATCAGAATCACTTTAACTGTGAACCATTTCTCATACGAACGTAGAAAATTTGAGCAAGTAAGGTAAATTCAAATACAGTGTTTTTCCTCCCAACACATAGGATTTGGGTTGGATCAAATATGCAATTGATTTATATAGTTAAGTTATCGTTATTATAATTTACTTTTTATTAAATATAGTGGTTGAAAATATTTAACAAAAAATAAATTTCCTATTTCAAACGAATTTAAATGCAAGAATATAATTTGTTGTTCGACCATATAAAAAAACACTTCGATGTGACGTATGCCATAAAGCATCCAAGAAGAAGAAAACAGGAATTACCAAGGAATAAGCAAAAAATTACGTCTTTCGAATACCGACAATAATTACCCACTTAGTACCATGAAAACAGTCGTCGATGATTTCCTCGATCGTCGTTTATCGGGACTTCCACTTGTTGTTGCGTGATCCAACCAGTACATTAAACTCTTACGGCGTCTTTTATGAATGACCTCGGAGAATGGCCACGCGTGGGGCAGTTGCCCCAGCGAATAAACTGTGACCGATAAATTCGTGTGCTCGAGAAGCTTGATATTATGATCTTTTTAGGGAAATTTACACGGACGGTCACGGAGCACCGAAAACGTCGGCCGAACTGCGCGGAAACTCGTCCAGCAGGAGTAGCTATATTCTGAAAGCGTTGCACTTCGCTGAATCCCGGTCGCGCTAGCCTCAGCGTAATGTTAAGCTATTAATGTCGTTACTGTTGCTATTACTACTAACGACGGTGTCGACTAACCCGATTATCCATGCACGATTATCTTGAAAACGCGTAACTAGGCTAAAGACAACATTTATTGCACTGATATTGTTTACGCGCGTGGGCGAGGAAACATCTGATAACGTGTTTACGATCCGTGAACGGGTCCGTAATTGGCGGACAATGAGCCCTCAACGTGCACGCGCCAATCTTGCAAAACGTTTCAATAATTTCGATATTTTATTGAATAATTGGGAATCGGTGTCGCTATGCGCGTGGAAAATTTTTTTAAATTTCGTCGAAAATTCATTTCGACGATAATCATGATCGATAGCGATCGCGCGGTACAACGATAACCGTCCATACGCGCCAATCTCTGTTGGCTAGATAATAGTGGGTTAGATATCTGTATCGAAGATGTACGATATCGTGTACATTTAATGGGAATCCTGGGAAACGCCATCCAATTCCAGTTACGTGGATAAACTGCGGATTTCAGAATCCTGTTTATCCTTGTACCGATCGATCGTTCGATTCACCGTGAATTTGGACATAACGAGCAAACAGACTACACGCTCCGGCGTGCAACGGCATATTAGAATCTCTGCCATTTTCGGTGCATGATAACGCGGTTTAATGGCGCTTCGAAAAAAATTCCTGCACGGTACAAACTTCCGTGTCGACGATTACGTTAAAATACGATTTTTCCTTTAAATGGCATATATATTTATATCTTTGAATCGATCAAAGGCAGAAATTGCTAACAAATAATATTTACGAGTTCTGTAACTTTATCTGGAGATGAGAACCTTTTGCAAAAATTACAAACAGATACCTAAAAGTAAATTAATAAACGAATTTTTGGTCTACGTATGGATAAAACGGTGACGAAAAGTGTTTAAACTTAAGAAAAATTTAGTTGCTTATTTGTACACCTAATATACAGTACTGATTCCTAAAATGAACACGTGATTCGTAAGTTGAACCTTTCCATCCCTTCTAACTTGAGGGATCCCCTTTAAGCCCCAATGAAGCGTACAATACAATACTTTGTGACAATGTTCATTTTAAGAATCATTACGTTTGTATGGTCCTTGATCTAGCGCTTCTTGCATCATCAGAAAGTTGTCCAGTTGGAAGTGGTGTTGAGATCACTTATTTGTACACATAATATACAAGTAATGAGTCTTAAAATGGGCCCCGAGACGTGATTCGTAAATTGAATGCCTCAAATCCGTCCCAACCTGAGGAATTCTCAGAGTCCAACGAAGCGTGAAAAACTTTGTGAGAAGCGATGTTCATTTTAAGAATCATTGCCTTCGTTCATACGGTCCTTGGTCTAACGTTTCTTGCATCATCAGAAAGTTGTCCAATTGGAAGTGATGTTGAGATCACTTATTTGTACACATAATGTACAAGTAATGAGTCTTAAAATGGGTCCCAAAACGTGAATCGTAAATTGAACTCCTCAAATCCGTTCCAACCTGAGGAATTCTCAGAGTCCAACGAAGCGTGAAAAACTTTGTGAGAAGCGATGTTCATTTTAAGAATCATTACCTTCGTTTGTAGGGTCCTTGGTCTAGTGTTTCCGCGTGTGCATGGTTTGGAGCCCTTAGTGTTCCCAGCTGAGAAAATTGCCCGTTTAAAAGCGGTGTTGAGTACATGGAGTAAATGTGAAACAAACAAAAATGACGCGATCCATTTGTTGACAGGTGTCCTGGGTACGAAGACAGGATAATGAAGAGAAGTTAAACCTGCTGACGGTGGGCCAACTAACATATATAGGAGATCCACGGTATACAGTGCAGTTCCAGTACCCGGACAACTGGCGTCTACAAATTAAACCGGTGAACAGCAGCGACGAGGGCCAGTACCAGTGCCAGGTCAGCACTCATCCGCCCAAACATATTCACGTAAATCTCCACATCAACGGTGAGTACCACAGCACTCCGAGCAAGTTACTTTTATGTGATTGTCCGTATCATAAAAGGTAAATGTTGTATCACGTACACCTGAACGAGAGAATTGCGCTCGTGGCGTGGTGTATGTTGACGTTTGACGCTACGTTACGTTAATTTTTTTCCCCTCTTTTTTTCCCCCCCAACCATATTGCTCTTTCGACCATCGTTTGTCTCTTTTACGTTCAATGCGTGCACCGTCGTAACGATCCATGGAGGCATACAGGGTATCTAGGCTAAATTGGATCGCCCAAATATCTGCCGTATTTATTCCTGCGCGAAGATACGAAATTACGAGGCCAACGTTAATTTTTTAAATCATTCTGTTTTTTACGAGATTCCAAGCCGGTATTTCTTTTATGAAAACCTATATTACACTCCTCCTAAAATTTATGAAACATATACGCCCTTTTTCAGAGAATTATTTATATTATATATATTTTTGTTTATTGTTATAGAGCAAGAAAAAACAAATGCAACGATTTTAATAATTACACCGAACGAGAGCATTAAACTAGACGTTTGAAAATATTTCACCGAGTTTTTACCAGAATTGTTCACATATTCATAAGACCTACGTCAGAGTCGATTATGGATATTTATAGTCACAAGTTTCTCGGGATTCGAAATAAATAATACACATAAACTAAATTTTTTTATTCAAATTAGTTTACAATGATATACGTGGTCGAATAACAAAATACATTTTTCAGGTGAAATATCTTCGAATGGATCCAAAAAAAAATATTTATATGAGATTCTTCGTGTGTTCCACGTAGTCAAACGACTCAAGTTTCCAATACATATTGTTACACGTAAACGTAATATATGCAGTCGAAGGTATACGTCAAATTTTATGCACAGTTCCTTTTGGAATCCCGCATAAAATGGAAATTTTATTATGGGTCAATATGACCCTGCGTTCGAGGGTGAACATAATTCTAACGAACCCGTTAGCCTGAAACAGAAACACCCTGAACGGAAGTTTATACGCGCAGTTCGCCCATAGTCATCTTTATGCCTCACATCCATTTTCATCCCGCCCCCCCCCCCTCCCACCGCCCCTCTATCCTCTATCTCGCGCCATATTTGCTCGGAATCACTCATTTATTCTGTCAACTTCGTTAACCGTGTTTGCAAGTCTGCTCACGCAGCCATCGATGCGACTCAATTTATTTTCGTTCGCATATTAACGACCGATCGCCGTCGACAATTCTCCTGGAGGTCCCAGGCCGACGAAAATACCCGATCGGGAGTTTCCATCCCCTTTTTTGCGCGAAGGTACACGAGCTGTGTTCCCGATGAGACCTGGCACAAAAGGGGGAGGACGGTTTCACCGGTTCCTGGTAAACCATAACACGATGCAGAGTAAATTGAGGCGGAATAAACGGTCGCGACGGAATTACTTAGAACGGAGGGCAAAGGGAAACTGCGAAACAATTTCGGTAGTCGGAGTCGGGCCAACAAAGCGATCAACTTCGTCCCCGGAATGTGTGTTATTCCATAACGTGGTATTTTGATTTAGATGGTTGAAACATTCACTTTTTTCTGTTCCCATTCTCGCGAAGCATATTTTACAGTATTCTTGTAGCGTTGTTTAAATAAAAAACTGATGTTTGTGGATTCAACGATACGGATGGCCATCTCGTTTCGAACGTAACGTTGCAGTTAAGACTGGGAAATCCTTGACCGGGACTACTGCAAAGTTCTACTATATTCTCTGAAGGGAAACACGTATTCATAGTTCTACCATATACAAGCACGCGAGATTGTTTATTTTGTATTACTGGTACAGGAAATCCTGAATAAGCTTCTGGAAGTTGTAAACCTGTTTCAACTTCGATGCACCTGACCGTGTAAACGCGCACTCTAAGTAGAAGTTACACGTAGAAGTTGTGTAAACATAGCCAGCGTCCACTGTAGAAAATCTGTAATCCCTTGAAAAAATTGTTATCGCCAGGGACGAACGAAAGAGGATGAAGTTTAAAGGAAGAATTCGAAACCTTGGTAGTTAAGATTATTATAAAACGAATTACATGAAGATTTATTAAACGTGGGTAGTTTGCTAGTTATGAATTCTAAATAATTACAATTCTTGCGAACTCTAGAATGGAAGTTCAAAGTCGTTTATAGTGATGGACTTATTAACCAAAGTTCCACCCAAGTGATTAAACCATAATGTATACCCCACGAAAATAATGGCCGACTTCCTTCGCTGTTTATTTGCGTCGAATTTCGCGCGTCCCTAAGGGCCAGTTACGAGTAATTTAAACAATTAAAATAGCCGAAGATACTACACGAATAGCCGTGACGGGGAACATTGTATTTCATCGCCGCAGCCAGCGGAGGAATTCCAAATCCCAGGAGTTGATTCTGAGAAACTTGCGGGAACATCCTGGCTGCAGTCAAGTTCCCGAATGGAACTAATCGCTGAATTAAGAATTTTCCTAATATACGTTTCTGAGACGATATTCGACGAGAAATTGGATGAAATTCACTGCGAAACGAAAAATAATAATATTTTGTGGTATAATAATGTTCCGTCGGTCGACTGAACGCTAGAACTACCGAGAATTATAGTGTATTTATTTGTACCGATGAAATTAAAAGGATAGATGCGCGAAGAAACGTATAATGCAGTGGAAATAAGTGTTTATTCATTCTCTTATAGAAAATTATGGTAAATTTTTATAAATTCAGTCGAGAAAATTATTTAGAATTTTTGACTGCTTTGGTAGTTCTTGTGTTAAAAATCTGTTGGAAGCCTATTTTCAAAACTAAGTGCTTTTGATTTGCGGAGAGAAAATTTTTAGTTTTAAATTTATAAGGAAGAAAAGTATCGTAATCGAGAACAATTACGGAAAAAGATGTTTTAAGATCTATTTCTAATGTACGATGAAACTGCAGATTCAAGTATAACGATAGATTCTTAGATAGAATTTAATCTTATGTGGAAACGTCAAATGAACAATTTCTTTATCGTGGCTCCAATTTAAATTAAATGAAATCTCATGCGTACTCGTTCGAATTAATAACATGCATCACAAATGTTTTAATTAATATATTTATTAATTCTCTTGTGGAAAATTGTGATAAATTTTCATAAATTCAGTCGAGTAAACGAGTTTTATTAGATACCATGAACGGTACGTTTCGACTGCTTTTGGTAGTTCCAGCGTTAAAAAGCTATTGGAAGCCTATTTTCGAGGCTAAGTGCTTTTGATTTACGGAGAGATCGAATTCTCTACGGTCGACGTCGACCGTAAATCCCGAAGCGAAAGAAATCGCAATCCGTTTCGGCGCGAACGAAGCACGCAAGCTTCTGTCCCGATGCAAATTACAGGGAAACGCAGCGTAAGGCTCCACGGGCTAAGATTTTCTCTCGATGACGCCGAGGGAATCGTTTAAATTGGACAACGAGGGGGATGGGATAAAGGGCGAATGCGAACGTTGCAACGCCAGAACAGGAAAACAAGGAGAAACCGGGGAAAGTAGCACTCAGGTATTCAGCGTGAGATCGAGGAAATTGGCTACGTTCCTGGGTACTTTTGTGAACTACGGTGACGCGAGTCTCGCATTGGGAATCCGTCTGGGCGTAACGGCGAAATGAAGCTACCACGGCAGAAACTGTAGAAACAAGTTGATTTCGTCCTCCATAACACGCAACGTTAGCGTTATCAAAAATTTTCAACCCTCACTAACGGTGCAACTCAGATGGTTAGACAGGGTGTTCGTCCATAAATGTCTCCCTTATTTTTCTAACGTGAAGGAAATATTAAAGTCATCTAGAAGGTGCAAATTATTCTTTTATATTCCCTGATCTCTCCGAGTTAGGATGGTCAACTTAGTTTTTTTAAATGGATAAATTTCTTTTAGATATTTGGTTAGTTGAGGTCATTTGTAATCAAAGTGGTATAATCTGTAGAATAATTACATATTGTAAAATGTAACTAATAAAACGGTGGAATTCTCTCGGGTGAATTTTCAACCATGGAGCCCATTAAAGGTACCTATTCGAGGGAGTGAAAGCTGGAAATTTAAAATAAAAATATCTAAGACATTTTAAAGTAGATAAACATTGTCTAATTAAATTTTGTACATCGTGTTTCGTTGGTCAGTTTGGTCATTAATATATTCTAAAGCCTATAAATTAAATAAAAAATCTGAATTTGCTAATATATCTTAATGGACGATCAACGAATAGTCAGATATCCATGTTTAAACTATATTCGACTAATATTTGAACGTTGGGAATATCCAAGAAACTATTCTACGCGAAGTCGTGGTAACTGGGTAAAACATCTATCTTTAGCGAGGGAACAATAATTGCGCTGCTACAATGTTCGCCAGCAGATCGTCCTATATATCGTTTCCTGTTTCGCGGCGTTAACACCTTAGTTAGAAAATATCGGAAAACCGGCACGGTGATAAAATACAAAAGTATCGATGGCGAAGAGCAAGCAACGAAAATAGATGGGTGGAAAAAGGGATCCGTGGGAAATGGGAAAAACTGAGTCGAAGCGTTTCCGTTAGCGATCAGATAAATTGGGTACGTTGGACGATTTTTTTGCGGATAAGAATCGCTTAGAAGGATAATTGAAGGCGAAATGACATAGTCGGAATGGACGGTGAGTGGTGTGGCCTCTCGAGAAGAAGACCCAGGAAAAGCGGAAGATTTCATTTTGCTGGCTCGTGAAAGGCGGTGGAATCGAGATACGTTGAGCCGCTCGCTGGAACAAAGGGGAATAGTGGGACAGTGGGCGGTTTGGGGGGGGAGGGGGGGGGGAAGGAAGAGAGAGATATATAGCGAGGCAAAAGTGGTACTTAGAGGTAGACAAGAAAATGGACAGCGCGCTCGGAAAATGTAAAACTACGGGAGGAACTTCATAAATGAAAAAAAGGAGGGACGAAGTATAAGGAGCTCCGGGAAGGTAATAAAGGTGAAAAAAGGAAAACCGCGGAAGGAGGTCTCTC